AGCCTGGTCCGCGGGCTGGGCGTTGGAAGAGACGCGGTCTCCGGCGGCGAGCTCCCTTTGTAGGGGCGCGTCTCCTTCCCCCGTCTCTCTCTGCTCCGCCCTGTCATTGCCACAGACTAAACAGCCAGGCTGGGCTTCGGGGTCGCTGATTTTCTGCTTTCAGGCAAACGAACACCGTTACAGATGCGTCCCAGCTGCCGGCGGCGACCCTCCTCGGCTCGGGTACGGTTTCCAGCTCAGACCCTGAGGAGCTTCGCACACGCCCGCGACAAAAGCCTTCCAGAAAAGCAACCCAAGCTGGGTCTTTGAAACCTCGGTGGGTAGAAGAGGAGAGGGGAGGGCTGTCATTTAAGCACGAGTGACTCTTTTAATCAGCTTTCCCCAATCTTCCTCTGCTCTGAACGCACGCCTAGATCGCTTGGGGCTGGAAAACAGTTGGGAAAAACAGTTACAGTTTACACAAACATACTTAACTAGTCTGGGGTTTGGGACCAGAGCTTTCGGGCCCTTTTAAAACTTGAGGGATTGTTTTCACCTCCAGCGACAGTAAGTGTTGTGGCTCCAAAGTTACTCGCGAAAGGGGTGTTGCTTTCCTTTCTGTTACTTTTCCATAAAATTATTTTCCTAAAGCAACGCTGACTGGCTGATGCCACGTCTACAGGGGCCAGAGAAGTGCTGACTTTTCAGGGTGAGATCTGCTCCGCAAAGTGAAGGCCGAGAAAACCAGGGGTGGGAGCGTGTCCCTCACCCAGGCTCGCTGGCTGCAGGGTGCTGGTCGCAGGCCCCTCTCCCGCGTTTTGCCGTCCCCAAGGACACCACTCCCGCCACCCTTTGAAAATCCTGCTCCCTTTCACACCAATGGGCCGCTTAATTGCCTGGCCGGTGGGAAATCCATCTGCACCTTATTTAGGACTATTAACAAGTGGATGCCTTTGAAATGAATAGGTACCCAGGGCTGCACCAGAAAAAAGAGTCAAGTTCCTAAAGGACTCAGGCAGGACGAAGGCTGTATCCAGGCGGGTGAAAACATTCGAATTGCTGCCTCTGAAACACTACAGTGGGGAGACATTCTCACCCGGGAATTCGCAGCCAGATCCCACAGACTAGCTCTTTTCTTTGGCCGTGGAGCGCGGATGTTAGCACACTGGCCGGCCTCAGCTAAGCAGAGTTATGTGCAGATTTATGATTTGGGTACAAATAAACTTGCTCCTTGAAGTCTACGTGGAAGATAGACATTCGACTCCTGCAAGCCTTTCAGCTGATTCCTTTCCACCGGGCACCTCCTGTGCTTTGCCCCCAACCCCTCAGTGCGGGGATATTTGTAGCAAACAATTATTAAGACCCTTTCTATTTGCCAAGCATGTTCTCAGCCCTTCCCATGAGTTTATTCATTTACCCCTTTCAGCGATACTATGAACCATTTATTATTAGATTCACTTTTTAAAGAGGGTAACCACAGTTCAACGGGGAGGTGGCAATTTGCCACAGGCCACACAGTACTGGAAACCAGGCGTTCCTGTGCCTGCCTGGCGCCCCTGAAGGTGAACTGTGCTTGCTCTTTCCCTCCCAGGTCGGGCCCAGCGCGCCTGCTTTGCGCTGCGGAGCAGAAACTCGCCAAAGCTGGGCCCGGGGCGCCTTTCCCTGCGCGCCGCGCCCTGGGCAGGCGCTGTGGCTCAGGGCGCTCTGTCACAAACGGCAGTTCTCAAAGGTTAGTGCTGTCGTTGGTAAGGTAACCTCAGGACAAGTTTACCAGAGTGCCGCGGGCCAGTGGAACTGAAGAAGCCAAGAAAACACGAGCGCCCGGCGGCTTACTGGGACTTGCTGGGGGGAGACAGGGTCTGGGGTTGAGGACCCTTGGGACTCAAGTGCTGAAAATAGGATCTCAGAGCACCAAGTCGAAAAACAAGACAAAACTTTTAAGCCCCCGTCAGGGGCCAGAGGAGAAAGATAAAAACAACACCACAGGAGGCAGTATATTCAAAAGAAGCCAGCGCCTCAAAGATGCCTAGGGTCCCCCAATTTAGGAGAGGTTCCGCTGCTCTTTTCTTAGGGGAGAAAGGGTGAGAGAAAAATGGGAAATTGGGTGAGTGACTCAGAGAAAAAAATTTTTTTTCTGAGTGGGGAAGTTGAACAGAAAAGTATGAAAAAAGTTAATAATCACTTAAAAAATATCTGCTGGTTTTTCGGATACTCTCTTTTACTCAAAATCAGACTAGATTCTGGCTTTTATTCCTCAAAGAAAAGAAAGAAAACTGTAAACTGTTTTCCACGATTTCTCCAGAGAAGCAGACTTCTCACATGCAGGGAGAACTTTCACGTGTTTAATATGTAAACAGGTTGTTAGAAATGATATGCCAACGCTACCAGGAAAGCCTCAGAACAGGCAGGCGAGGGGAAGGAAACCAGGCCACAGCTTGGTATTACACGTGAATGTCTACCAAGGTTCTGGTGAAGTAGAAAGGTAATTTAATTTTTTATTTTACATTCTTAATAAAAATAAATAGAGGTTTAATTTTCTTACAAGTTAGACTTATAAGCAGGTTTTAATTGCATAGACCTGTAAGTAATCATAAACCTTTTTTTTTTTTTTAAGAGAACTTATTTTAGTTTAAGCATTATGGTAACAATCCTAGTGTTGATGGACAGACCACACCAGCAAAATGATGCTAGAGCTCCCTTTACTAGTATAATTTGCCCACCTTAGGAAATCTGCATGCCTCTCTTAGCTGGAGAAGCAAATATACATGGAAAGCTAAGTCTATTTCAATTCACTTCTTCCTCTACCTGAGACCCTTACCAACTCCTGGACAAAAGGAGTTGTTCTGGAGATTTTTGCTTTTATATACGACTTCACAATGTGCTAAACAATTTCAAACTCTTATTAGCTCTGAGAACTAGGAACACCTAAGTAAACACATTAGTACCTGCCAAAGCTGCTGGAAAAATTTGTGGAGAAGACAGCTGAGGAAGACATTGGCCTCTGCTTGAATTCGAAGACTCCCAGGAGAGATCAAAGGCCTAAGTAAGGACTTTTAGCAGCCTTGAGAGTAGCTAAAGTAGCCAGTTCTTGCAACATTATCTTTGTTCCAACAACATGGCAGAGCCATTCCATCTCATAGGCTGACTCTGAACGAGGTTTACAAAATTGCTTTTTTCAGAATAAAACCTCTAGGATCAAGGGTCATCTTTTGTAACACTTCTTTTGAATTTAAGGG